GGTAACACCGTTAAAATTAATTTTTATATTCGTTTGATTGAATTTTTATTATTATTATTGTTTTGTAAATATTCTTCTAAATCTATTTTTTACAACTTCTTATCTTGTGCATGCCTTTGTTTCCTTTCAACCTAGATTCTATTGTTCTACTATCGTTAACCTTTACCTAGAATTTCATCTTCACCTATACTTGCATGCACTCCTTTACTAATAGCTGGACTTTCCCTTAATAACTTTTCCTAAAATTCTATATTGATCACTCTGAGTGCTATAAACCTGTACCTTCAACCCTACAGTCCATACTTTTTCTTCTTGAATATTCTATCTCTTTTTACTAACAATTCAGCTGTATATAAACCCCTAAATTTCCATACTCAGTACCGAGCGGCATGGCCTAGAGGTTTAGTCCATTGCTTAGCATTCGGGAGGACGGCGGTTCGATTCCGGGTCCGTCTGCCTTGGTCCAAGTTTTTCTGTGGTTTTCTTGAATCATCTAGGCAAATGCTGAGGCAGTAATTTTCCACAGATAATCTTTCATTCTCTTCTGTCTTCATTTCGTCCGTCTCATCTTTCTCACCCGAACCACCACCCACCCATTCCCACGATTCCTGAAAGCAGGCTGAAGAGAGCCTTCCGCCCTACCTTCCGGTAGTCCGGAGGGACTGCCCGCCCACCAGCATTACTGGCTGGTGGGAATGAAACACCCAAAAGTCTTAGTTAAGTCATATTCACAAACCACTCTCCTTTCAAAATTCGAGTAAGTCTACAACGTTTCTTTATTGTTAATTGTCTGCTTGTTTTCATTATTTTTTGTATATATTTTTGTGTCTTGTTGTGTTCTTGTGTCTTTTCAACTTTTATGTTTTTCGTCTGTTGTATATATCTTTTCTATTAATGGTTTTTGTTTTGTGTACAACTAGTAGTAGGGGTACTTTTGAATACCTCAAAAACAAACGCAATTTTTATGAAATATGCAAGGTAGGTTGATAGGACACCTCCTCATACTTAAAGAGCTGATTGGGGACAGATTCGTAAATAGTTAAACATGTAGGTTGCTTTGGTTTTCAAAAAATACGAAAATTGGCTCAAGGAGGTGCATACCCCGTCGGTCCCGGTGGCGTCTGCAAGAAATTTAAGGTGGATCCAGGTCCAGAAAAAATATACTCCCTCATCCAAAAAATAATAGGGATAGCGCTCAATGCTCAAACATACTTTGTTGTCTACAGAAAAATATTTTTTAAACAATTTTAGTAATTTACTTTCAAAAATTTCTGGCGGTCCAGTTTTTGACATTCCACGGCTCGAATTTGGATCGCGGTCCGCCAGTTGCCGGGGGTCACCATTTACATTCTGCCTGTCTGTCCGTCTGCCCTGGTCCATGTTTTTCTTTGTTTTCTTTGAAATCATTTAGGCAAATTCTGGGACAGCAATATTCCACAGATAAATTGTATTCTCTATATCTTCCCCTTCAGATTAAGATAGTAATAAGAAATCAGAGTCAAATAGGGGTAAAAGATTTTATTATTGTAAAACCCACCGACGTTTCGCCTTTTGATTTGAGTTTCGTCAAGGTAAGTTTTTAAGGTATTGCTGGCAAACCGTCGAAAATGATAAAGACTCAAATCAGAGGCGAAACGTCGGTCTGATTTTACCATCTACGATAAATCTTTTTGCCTCTTTTTGACTCTAATTTCTTATTATTATTATCCCGCAGATAAAGTCTTTCACTTTCTTCTGTTTTCATTTCGTCCGTTTCATCTGTTTCACTCCAAAAAAAACTTAAACTTTTGGGTGTTTCATTCCCACCAGCCGGTAATGCTGGTTGGGCGGGCAGTCCCTCCGGACTATGCCGGAAGGTAGGGCGGAAGGCCCTCTTCAGCCTGCTTTCAGGAATCGTGGGAATGGGTGGGTGGTGGTTCGGGTGAGAATGTTAAGACGGACAAAATGAAGACAGAAGAGAGTGAAAGATTATCTGTGGAATATTACTGCCCCAGCATTTGCCTAAGTGATCCAAGGAAACTACAGAAAACTTGAACCAAGGCAGACGGACGGACCCGGAATCGAACCGGCGTCCTCCCGAATGCTAAGCAATGGTCTAGACCTCTAGGCCATGCCGCTCGGTTTTCACTCCAAGCGCCACCCACCTGTTCCCATTATTTTTAAAGGGAAGCTGAAGAGGACCTTTTGCCATACCCTCCGGCTAAATCCGAGGGAATTGCCCACCCACCAGTATAGGAGGTAGCTTATGGGAATAAACCACCCAAAAGTTTCTGTTTTACTAGTACAGTGGTATTAGGCTAGCGCCTAGTCCAGGTTCAAATTTTCCCAGGACTAGCTCAGTCTACCTACGGTCCTGTAGTCGTACGTACGTATGTAATTATTTATCAGCAAAGTAGTGAATGACAATTGTGCGTATGCGTGGCAGTAGCGAATATGCGAAGACAACGAAGAAGTGGCCATAGACAAATGCCATCCATCTTCTTCGGCATGAGTTGGTACCATTTGCACACACACACGCATACATACTTACAAACAAACAAACAAACAAGCAAGGAAACGTACATCCAGAGCCCCAACAACGCGGGAGCGTAGCTCGGTGCCGCCGTACAGATTTACGATCACGTCACCATTGAATGCCGCATAATAAAACAGCAACCAATACCCTATATAGTACTTGTCCTCAAAATTTTTATCTCTCCCTCATACCTTGTTTGTAGCTGCCGTACGAACGCTAAGCAGATTTATTAGGGCCGTTTCTTGCGTTATTTGTGATCGGAGCGATTTAAACATTCGACTCGCAAAAGAATTTATTGTTGGCCACAGAACAACAACCTCTCGATGACTATTTCTTTACTTCGACATGCATGCAAAAGAAACATCGGTACATATTAATCAGTACATTATGTCATCAGCGTTGTGATAGATAAACGGAATCGTTCTACGTCGTTAGAAAGTCGATTTTCAATGATCTTAATAAATTTGCTTCGCCATTTACTAATAGAAAATCAATCGATTAATTGCGTAGTTGGTTCTCCTACGGAAAATTCTATCGCAATTTATCACCTCTGCTATGTAATAAATCCAAGATTCAATTATCATTAAATAAAATGGAGAACTGGTAGTTACTGTCACGAGAGTGGTTGACTTAAGCATTATTACTGCCAATTGTTTATGACTTCTGCAGCAAATAAAACATGTCAACAATGTCAAGTGACACATTATTAGCAACCATCCGCAATGAATGGTTTTTCGGGAGTTATTACGGAGAAAACTAAATTTTTATCATCATCATAAGGTGCTCAGTCCTAAGACTGGTTGGACACGTACCTCCACTCTTTCCTACCCTGAGCTAATCTTCGCATTTCCCTAATAGTAGAATAACCCATACCCTAAACAAGAATTTTTAGTCTCTCTCCAGTCTCTCAGAGTCTTTCAGCGTCTCTGAGAGCGTCTCTCACAGTCTTTCACAGTCTCTCAGTTATTGCCTAGGTGTTTTTATGGGTCTGTGGCGGTAACAATGAAAGACTCGAACGATAAAATTGTTCAATCAGAGATTCGAGTCTCTCACAGAGAGACTGAATGAATAAAACTGAAAAATTGGGAGACTCGATTCTCTCGTAGAAAGACTGGGATCTCTAAAATATGTTGAACTTAGAAAATTTAAACCATGTCTATCGAGACAACACCTATTGAGAGATTCGAATATCTCGTTCAGAGATTCGAGTCTCTCGTTCAGAAATTCTAGCCTCTCGTTTAGAGACTGGATACATAATGAGAATCTCTCTATGAGCGACTCGAGTCTCTCGTTCAGAGACGCTAAACAGTTTTTTTTTTACAGTTTCTCGACAGTCTCTCTCAGCGGCACCAGAGAGACTCGATGAGACACGGAGACTCGAGTCTCGCTTTCAGAGACTCTGAGAGACTGAATATTTTTATCTCCGGTATCCTTAACTATTTGCGAATGGTAATTTAATCTAGGTCTACCCCTCCTAACTACCGTTTCTGCCTCTAATATGTCCCTGACTAAACCTTCATGCCTGAGAAGGTGTCCTACCAACCTATCTTGCCTATTTCTTATTGACTTCCATAGAGTCCTCTGTTCTCCTATTCTTTCTAATACCTTTTAACCTTCTCTATCCACGATGTCCTCATCATTCGCCTATGACACCATATTTCGAACGCTTCTAACCTTTTTTTTTCCGCCGCGCCTACTGTCTACGTTTCACACCCGTACAGCACCGTGTTCCAAACATACACCTTTAACAACTATTTTTTGAATTTCTTAATTAACCGTTTGCAACAGAAGTTACTTCCTTTTATTGAAGGCGACACGACCCTGCACTATCCTCTGCTTTATATCCCTACTACTCCTTCCGCTCTGACTTATCTGACCTCCTAGATACCTAAAATCAGCCACTTCTTCTGATTTTTCGTCTTCTATCTTTATATTCGCTCCTTCCCTACTTTTTCTTCCCTTGCATACCAGTATTTTTGTTTTACTTTTATTTATTTTCATGCAGTACTGTTTCGTTAATACCGCTTCCCTTTTATTTAATGATATCTCTAAGTCCTCCTTGCTAAATGCTAATACTGCTATTTTATGACAACCCAGAAATTACAATTTTCGATTGTAAATGACTGAATTTGCGATATAATTAATAGAATTTATTAGGTAACTTGTAATAATCTCGATTTTGAAAACCTTTTTTTTAATATTTGCTCAATTATACTTGTAATATTAACTAAAATACCTAGTAAATGTGTTTCTGCTGGGATTTTATTTTTTCAAATTCGGGTCTAAATTGTAATTTTTATTATTTTGACTTACGAAGCAAGGGTCTAGTCTCTAGTGGGATAAATTGTAAATATCTTTTTAATATTTAGGTAAATGTTTCTTTTTCATTTTCTCCGTAATGAGGAATAAATAAAAGATTAATATATATAAAAACCATGGGACAGTTGTATACTTCTTAGTAAAATTGAAAAACATTTCTTTGTAGGATATAGAGAATCGGCCTTTGTATACGCCCTGTCATCGGCAGCAGTAGTCATGAATGTAGCAAGAGCTTGTAGTCAAGGGTTTATCATCAGTTGCGGATGCGATCCAAATAAGCAAAATATGAAAAAGGGCTCAGAGGACTTTACGTTCAAGTGGGGTGGCTGTTCACATAATTTACAATATGGAATTCGATTTTCAAAGCAATTTCTGGATTCACGGGAAAAAGCCTCAGACATACAATCCAAAATAAATCTACACAACAACCAAGTTGGAAGACTAGTAAGTACAACTCATGCATCTAAAAGAAATAATGTAATTAATTTTACAACTAAACATTCTAAATGTAGAGGTTATGAAGAGGGAGGATGAGTGAATTCAAAAAAATCACAAAATTTACTCGGATAATATTGTATGGAGTTTCAAGTCGACTGTTTAGTAGGTTCAATGATTATCCTTAAGAAAATCCGCGATGAAAACGGATGAAATGCAAAGATTACTGTTTAAAAATTATGTGTAGCTACTCTACAAATAAAAATAAGGTTATTCCGATATTTCAGAGATTATTCAAGTATCTCATGGTATCCTAATTGATATTTTACATGCGAATGATGTTTGTTTGATTATTATTACGATTTCACGCCTTAACCATTCAACCGATCATTATGAAATTTTGTACACATTGTCAGGGGTAGAAAAAAGGACACAGGGTACTTCTTATTCAGAAAGAACGTACTGTCCCCGAAGGATAGAAAGTCAATTTTTTTTTATATCGATAAAGGACAGTAGGTATTTACAGTCATTCTACTCATTTACAGACTTTAGTTTTATCCTGATGATCCTGGTCAGGACTTTACAAACAAATTTATCAAATTATTGTATTTTCGATGATCCTTTACACGAATTGGGGACATCAACTCGAGCGAAACAGCCGGTACACGGAGAAAGTGGAAATGGAAAATTTACTTAAATATTAAATCGATATTTACAATTTATCCCACTTTCCCGTTGCTTCGAAAATAATGAAAATTACAATTTGGACCCGAATATGTAAAAATAAAATCCCAGCAGAAATAAATTTACTAAGTATTTTAGTTGATATTACANATTAGTATTAACGATGATCATAGCAAGGAAATACGTTCTTCTTTTGTGTAGATTTGTAGATACACTTGAATATCGCCTTACGTTTTACAAACTACTCACAATCAGTCAAATAGTTAAACCTAATTGTGATAGAAGCAGCCCATCGTTTCTCAAGACAAAGCAGAAGTATTATTTACATTTTTCATTACAGGTAATCAAAAATAATATGCAAATAAAATGTAAGTGCCATGGGGTGTCCGGGAGTTGCGAACTGAAAACATGTTGGCGACAAGTTCCTGACATCAAACAAATCGGAAAAATACTGAAAGATCGATACGAGAAAGCGATCTTAGTAAATCATTCCAATTTGGGAAACGGCAAACAAAAAAACCAAAACAGGTAGGCACTTTTTAATATTTTTTTCATTTAATAGCTTCTTAATAATAAATTAAGAATATCTCAGGATCAATCTACTTCTAAAGAAACAAGGAAAGTAACATTCAAAAATGAAAATATGCCGCGTAAATGGCCCACAACGTTAATTTATTAGGCCCATTATTTCAAGTTTTTCTTCTTTTTGTTATTAAACTTTAATATTAATCAGTAAATAATTTCCGTATTGTAATTTTCATACACAAGTGTACCCTCTAACTTGAGAAATTTCCAATAAAAAAGAAGATACTTAACTAAGCAAACTTAAGTGAGACATGAGGGCTCGTATGTACTACACATTATATAAAAAATATTGAAAATAATCACGTCAGTGTTTGGGGGTTAGTCGTAATAAACATCTAGCAAAGGTGATGGTCAAACCTTTTGGCCCACCTTCCGAGCCACCTTCGAATATCGAACAAACTAGTAAGCAGTCCGCCTGGTGGCTTCATCATCGTCATCATCATCACCAAACCAGCTGACAGTTGTATGTCATCTGGAGGTGAAACTAGTGCCGCGAAAGAGCAGCACCCAAGACACGTATACAGAACCAAAAACAACGCTATAGTCGACCGAATGGTGCTGCCGCCGCCGATCCTAAGGTCGTACATAATAATTTTACAATAGTAAAGAATGCAGATGAAGTTATAAGACATGGTCGTATTTCAAGAAAGCGCAGCGCTACACAACAACAACAAAACAGTTAATGAGAATATCGGCGCGTGTGGTCCCATGATAATGATAATAACGTTTGGGTCGCGATGGAGGAGGCGGCGGCTTCTTCTTCGTCTTTGTCAGGGGGGCGGTGCTGTTGTTGGCCTCCTGTGGTCATCGCAGGTCCTGCTGGCACCTCTGCCAAGCTCTCTGATCACTATGCCCGCGTGCAAAAATTTTAAGGCTCCATTACTGCAGTCGTCACATCGACGGTAAATTAAGAGACGAAAACAAAAAAAGGATTAATGACCGAAAGAAACAGTTTCACACAAAATTGCTCAAAAAAAAAACTCTTGCTTCGTAAAAGAGGAAATGCCTTCATTAATCACTTCCAACACCTATGATTCCTAATTAAAAAAAAGACGATCTTCTGAAATTATATGGAAAAAGTTTTTCTTGTTTTACGTTATATTGTAGAATGTTTTCGTATTTTCTTTCAAACTTAATTACTTTAAATATCTAAAACATGGTGAGATACATTAAATTTTGTAACTTTAAATCAACGAATTAATTTTTGATGTTATCCGTAGTGGGTTCAAAAATTAATCCACTAATACATTTAAAACATATTTCGATAGTTAAGGAATCATTCTCATTTTGTTGAGTTTAATCGAAGATAAATTGTAATACCTCTTGTCGTACCGTGACTTCTTAATTGAATGATTAATTTACAAATAAAAGCATTTTTTAGTTAAATCTCGGTTAAATTATAATCAAAAGAGTACAACAGACAAAAACAACAGGAACGAAGAAAGATGTAAAATATAAGCTTCACATCGATGCCATTTTTTACATACTTTTTTTATTTTATTAAATACACCTACAAAAAAACGTTGATTTCATTATATTATCCATTTGGAATGAAACATCCGAATTAAGTCAATTATTTTAAATCGTCTGAAATTACAAAAGTGCACAACGTGAATTTCACGCTCGCGAGCACATGCAGCAGTCTACTAAAAGTAAGCAAACGCTTTGAAAAAGCCCTGCAAGCGTTATTTAGCAAATTGCACAATTCATTCATACTTTGAAGAAGGAGTATGAGAGAGGCGCTCGCACTTCAAACGAGCCGCTCCTTTGAGGGATGATCCAAACAAACAAACCCTTACTTTCCGTTTGAAATAACTCCCGGATAGTTTTCTGTGTTGGCACAAAAGGCCTGAATTAATGTAATGAATGCACCTAGACGGCACATGAGTCAGAAGCTCTCGAAATCGATATATTCCTTCTTGGAATTACCTATTATTACTATTGTTGCTCTTATTATCTGAATAGATTAGCTTTAGCTTTTCAATCCATTTTACTTAAACGACGGTTCGTTGGTTTCTTTCATAGATGTTGGCTATAAAGATTGTCAGTAGATATAGCCATTTACAGTAAGGAATTTACAAAATCGAACAACTAATAGCTACCTACATAAAATTCCAAAAAGTTATGCTAGGTACCTGATTACTAAAAACAGATTAAATTCTTCGCAATTTCGATCTCATCAGCACGCCACAGACACTATGGATAGATCACTAATCATTTCAAAGATGTTTATATAATACCCATCCAGTAAAATGAATTGGCTTTTAAAAATTCGGACTGTAAGGTTTAGACTTTATCATGATGGACGACTTTTAATGAATGTGCATCATATATTTCTTTTCATATCCGAACATTCCTCCGACTCAGTTTTTCCGATAGTCATTTTCCGGAATTCAGAATTCATCGATTAAGTTTAGGGGGGGGGGGGTAAAATTCCCTACCACCTTTCCCCTAGTTAAACTCGAGCCGGAAAATTTTCTATTGGAATTATTTACTATCGGATAAATGACTACCCGGAAAATTCGATGCGGAAAATTGACAAGGAATTGTTTTTCTTTTTCCTTCACTACAATTTCTAAATCAATTCTTTTCAATATCGTTATAATATACTACTTATATTAAATTAGTATTAACGATGATCATAGCAAGGAAATACGTTCTTCTTTTGTGTAGATTTGTAGATACACTTGAATATCGCCTTACGTTTTACAAACTACTCACAATCAGTCAAATAGTTAAACCTAATTGTGATAGAAGCAGCCCATCGTTTCTCAAGACAAAGCAGAAGTATTATTTACATTTTTCATTACAGGTAATCAAAAATAATATGCAAATAAAATGTAAGTGCCATGGGGTGTCCGGGAGTTGCGAACTGAAAACATGTTGGCGACAAGTTCCTGACATCAAACAAATCGGAAAAATACTGAAAGATCGATACGAGAAAGCGATCTTAGTAAATCATTCCAATTTGGGAAACGGCAAACAAAAAAACCAAAACAGGTAGGCACTTTTTAATATTTTTTTCATTTAATAGGTTAATGGTACAAGAAAATTAAATCGGGTTCTATAGAAATAAACTATCTATATTTCCACGAATATAAAACGCCTTTAAATTGAATCTTTAACTGAGGAAGGCGCTTTGGTTGTCGTAACTCGTTTTTAATTTTTAAATTAAGTATTTGNACAACAATACAGTAATTTTATTTAAGTTTTGTTTAAAAATTGAAAATTCATGAATTCAAAAATGTAGACATATAATTTGAGTAAATTTAATTAACCTTAATTTGAGTTCATTACACTACCAAATTAAACTCTTGGTCAGAAGGTTGTCTAAATCAGAAATTGTAGACCGCAATTTCCACCGTAGAAAGTTTTGATCAAACAACTAACAGACTCTGGAAGTAACTTTAATTCCAATAGATTTGTTTAAATTTTTGTCTATGAAATTTTCTGGATTATTGTAACAGTTAAACAGGGCGCGATTTCTATTTTGATGAATACCAGAATTTTTTTTGGAGGTATAGGCAGTTTAAAATAACATGGACTCCCGATGCGCGAAAGGCGAACCTTATCGCATTCATATTGTAGGTAGGTTGTACATGTGGAAAACACTGACTCGGCCTTTTTTCCATTGATTATAACCATATAATCAGTGATGGAGTTTCAAATGAACTATAAAAAGCGACGACCATTGTTTTTAAGAATTATAAATGTAGAAATCAATCAATGGGCGGAGTTTTCTCGCTACGCAGCCCAAGAATAAGGCTCATAACATTCTAAATTACCTCTACTCCCTGACTTCTCCAACTTATAATGAAACAAAGTAGTTATATATGCTGTTAAGTGCCTTTTTGTTTTAGAATAACGACTACAAAGAAAAAAAGAAAAAAACCACAAGCGCGTCTGAAACTATGGGTAACCCCCGACAATAAAATGAAAAAGAAGGATTTGGTCCAAAGTCTGCTCTTTTACCAAAGATCCCCGACATTTTGCGAAAAAGATTTAAATGCAGATGCCTTGGGTACGATTGGAAGGCAATGTAACAGAACCAGTACCGGTCCAGATAATTGTTCATCCCTTTGTTGCGGAAGAGGATACAATCTCCAAAGAATTGTACGCACCGAAAAATGCAAATGCAGATTTATTTGGTGTTGCCAAGTTGAGTGCCAAGATTGTTCTATCGAAGAGTGGGTCGCTATTTGTAATTGATGATGAAAATTGATTTATGTACCTGTACTATCTTCGAAATGGCTGTTGATGTAGGAGACAAGACAAGAAACAGTACTAATTGGTAGGTAACCTTGAAAATTGTCGACAATATTCAATTTTATTTACTCTTTACAAGTAATTTATAATATTCAATATTTGATTTGATGTTCCACTTTTTTGAGTTTAACAATCTCAAGTGATAATAGTCGCCCAAAGACTTCACCCTTTAATAGGTGTTGTTTGAAATATTAGATACGTAAAACAATACAAAATAAAAGTACTTAAACGTGGTTTTTGCATACTGATTTCACGAAAAGTTCTGAAGTAATCATTTGAAATGCAGATAGCGGAGGTACTGCGTACTACAAAATAACTTACCTTTATTAATTAAACATTCCAAAAACAGTATTCGTAATTTTTATCTGACTGATAGTAGTGTAGTATTTATTTTATTATTATAATTATA